ACACACACACACACACACACACACACACACACACACACACACACACAACTACATTAAAGAGAACATTAAGGTTGCAAAGTCAAGTACTCAAAAGTTCGGACATGCCAGAATTGAGTGCTTTGCAGCCTTCATGGTCTTAACATTTTTGTGTATATATTTCACACAAAAACTATTTTAATTGTCTAGAAAGGAAATGTGCCCTGTTCTTTAACATAAATTCTACATTTATATAAAAATACTTTGTTTCATTGCCTGTGAAAAATGGCTCGTACATATGCTATCTACACGTGTTTTCTAATGTATTTGCATTCTGCTGAAAAGGCAATAAGAAAGAAGCAGCTAAATTAGTCAATACAAGATTTGCACTCTGAACTCAAAGTACACCTACAGAACCTGAATATCAATTGCATCTATTGAAGAATTGGACTTGGGGAGAATAGAGCTACCCTTAAAGAAAAAGTTGAAAAGCATAATCATCAGGATAATTTTACAGACTAACAATTGTGAAATTGTTACTCTCAAAGTACAAAAATAATTAACAATATTCTTCAGAGTGAAAAAAATTAATCCTGGTCCCAAAAAACACTGCAGCCAAAAGTTTTGAATAGTACAAGAACACAGAAGTGTTATTCATATAAGTAAAAGATGAACTCTTAGCCCCTATCAAAGTCAATAGCAAAACTACCATTTACTTCAATGGGATTAGGATTTTGCCCATTATCCAAATTAGCTCAAACGGGGCCTAATCCTATTCACATGATCAACTCAATGGGAGTATTTGTAAGAACATGAGATTTTATCCATATATTGTTATTGAAAAGGTTGGGGGGTGTTACTATAGTAAGCTATGGTGCAAGCTACTGAATAGGTTTTACAAGTGAAAAAAATCTGATTTTAAATTACATTTGAAGACTTCAGCTTCACATTTAATTACCAGAAATAGGTGAACTATAAATGAATCCATTCATACTACGAGATCTATAATTTCTCAAAGAAACAGATAAAAAATGAAATATCAGCATATTCTATTAATATTACTGTGAAGGCCTCAGGTTTAAAATCCATTTGCTCCATTAATTTTTTATGTTTAAAATTGATCACATTCATGAAAACCCAGAATGTGAGCTATGCTCACTGATTCCACACTCAATGCCCAAGGAATGTATGCACAAATACTGTGCCTCCCTAAAGTAGACCATGACACAGCCACGTACCATCTATGCATCGCACTCCTTTCACCTTCTTCTTTAGGTTTAAATCTTGTTGGGGGCAGGGATTAAACCTCTCACTCTTTGGGAAGCGCTACAGAAACAATTTTTACAAATCAATGCACATCTGATAGCTAAGCACCAGAATATGCCTCCACGGGAGGCTCTGGAACTCCTGTCACTGGAGGATTTTAAGAACAGGCTGGAAAAACACCTGGTCAGAGATAGTCTAGGTATACTTGGTCCTGCCTCTGTGCAGGGGGCGGGATTAATGACCTCTTGAGGTCCCCTTCACCCCTACATTTCTATGACTATTAGAGAATAACTAAGGAAAACAAATCAGTACATTTTTGTAGGTATTTTAGCTCTGAGTTAAAAGGAAGGAGCCAAAATTCTTACCTTCTCTTACTCTTGCATTATAACAAAAGGCAAGAAAAATGTTTAACACATAGTTGGAGAATATTTTACTTGCATATAGCTCAACCCACAGAAAACTAAGAATTTCAAAATTGGGTTGTTAAAACTAACATCTCTCTTGATACTTGACCAAGAATGTCACAGATAATAATGCAAGCCTATTAACTTGTCTTAATGAAATTTCCAAGGAAAGAGTGGCATAGTGTAAATGATCTACTGAATGGCTTTTGCTGAAATGTGCATGATGGCTTTGTAATTCACAAAGGTGTTCTGTACTTAATGTCTAGCAAGTCCTATTGCACCAAATATAAATAATCAGACAATACAATGTAAAAAAAATAGTAACAAATACCGGTTTATCCAGTTTTGACTGATTTACAAGTTAACCTGTAATCTCATATTTGGGGTAAAACTGACCCCTATGCAGAAGGCCAGCATACAAACTATGCACTGTTTAAACACTATATTTGAGGACTTAAGTGACTTAGGCTATGTCCTCACTAAGGGGAGGGGGGGTCGATTTAAGATACGCAAATTCAGCTACGCAAATAGCGTAGCTGAATTCGACGTATCCGAGCCGACTTACCCCGCTGTGAGGACGGCGGCAAATCGACCTCCGCGGCTCCCCCGTCGACGGCGCTTACTCCTACCTGCGCTGGTGGAGTACAAGCATCGATTCGGAGATCGATTGTCGCGTCCCGACGAGATGCAATAATTCGATCCCCGAGAGATCGATTTCTACCGCCGATTCAGGCGGGTAGTGAAGACGTAGCCTCAGTGGTACATAGGCCCCTTAAACTTGCTCTGCGCACAGGTTTTTAGCAGATATAGTTTAGTTTTCAAAAATAAGTCAAATATTTCTTTCAAACTATCAGATCACTTTTGAGATAAAGAGATGCTAAATTCTATTAGCACAGAGGCCAAAATTTTGAAACATAGGTGCCTATCAGGGATGGTCTAGACAGTATTTGGTCCTGCCATGCGGGCAGGGGACTGGACTCTATGACCTCTCGAGGTCCCTTCCAGTCCTAGAATCTATGAATCTATGAATCTAAAATTAGACTCTGAAATCCGTATTTAGGCAGCAAAAGAAAAATGGCCTGATTTTCAAAGGGTAGATTTTTTAAGGTTCCTGAAGATGATTTTAGGGACCTAACTAAAAGCACCTAAGTTTCAACATTTTGCCCACAGCAGGGCTTAGAATCAGGAGATCTATACTTTATCTCAACTCTGACACAAACCTAACCGCTCACTTGAGCTCTCCTTTCTGTAAAATGCATCTGTGATAAATGAAGGACAGGGGAACTCCCTTTTATGGGCACCCAGCCAGCCAGCTAGCTATAAAATCCCTGTTAGTAGCTGTTCTCTACTTGCTTTACCTGTAAAGGGTTAAAAAGTCCATAAGTAAAAGGAAGGGAGTTGGCACCTGACCAAAAGAGCCAATGGGAAGGCTAGAACTTTTCAAAATTCGGGGGGGAAAAATCCCCTTTGTCTGTCTGGTTGTTCTCCCAGAGAGCAGGGACAGGGCTGGAGCTATGCTGTAAAAGCTTGTGCCAGGTATGAAAATCATCAGATCATACCTAGAAACTACTCATTTAAAACCCCAGATGTGTCTCAGAGGGATAGCCGTGTTAGTCTGTATCCACAACAACGAGGAGTCCGGTGGCACCTTAAAGACTAACATTTATTTGGGCATAAGCTTTCGTGGGTAAACTGGGTTTTTTTACCCACGAAATCTTATGCCCAAATAAATCTGTTAGGGAAGATCCTTGTTTAGGATCCATCTCATGGCCACTACAGGATTGTTTTCTATTCTGTAGATTGCTCCCCATTTTACATTTAAAATGATGCATCCAGCTTATATTTAAAACATGCTGTGGATATTATTTGTATCACCATAGTGCCTAGAAGCCTGGAAGTCATGGACCATTGTACTAGGTGCTACCACTTCTTTTGGAAGACTGCAGCATTCCACAGACTAACAAACCGTGCCAGCCGTAAGATTTTTTTTTTCCTGCTAACCAGTCTAAATCTTCCTTTCATTAAGTTCATCCCTTTACTCCACTTGTAGTGTGTTAAACTCCTTGTTTTCCTTTGCATATACCACTTTCAAACAGTTGAGGACTGTTGGACTCCCATCCTTTTATACAGGCTAAACTACTTTAATCTTTCAATCATTTCTTGCAAGTTACTCCACCCAACTGATCCTAAACATTTTTTGCTGCATTTTGTTCTTTTCTGAACTCCCTCCAACTGGTCAATATCTTTATGGCAATGAATTTCCCAAAACTGAATCATTCCAGGTGCTGTTGTATCAGTGGAGGAATATTATCTTTATGTTTCATGACAAGACGTCTCTCTAGTCGTCCAATAGGTCACTACAATTCTGTCAGTGACAAAATACTATGTACACACAAACTAGACACCTGAAATTGAGGTATTCTGCTGTGAATTGGTTTATCTTAATGCAAATACTGCATACCTGTAATATCTGTGTGTGGCCTATCACTCCACTGGTCTCGCTTGACAACAACACCATATGCTCTGGAAAATAATTCTGTTACAATAGAACGTATTATTAAAACTTCTGGAAATGTGAATACAAAAACCTTCAGATTTCTCTTAGACATATAAACAGATCCACCACCCAATTGCACAGAGCAAAAAGACAATGAGATTTCCCCACTCTCAAATAATTTAGGAAAGGGAGGGAGCATTAAAATAGCCTCAAATTGTGGTATCTTGTAGATTCACCTGCTCAGTTTGTGAGAGCAGACTTCAAAGCGTTTTTTTTTTCTTCCCCCACCCCTCAAGATTTCAATGCAGGGATAAGAGTCTGCTGAGTCAAGTCAGGAAGGCCCATACTTAGGGTATGTCTATACTACAAAAACCTGTGCCAGTGGGTCTCAGAGCCTGGGTCAACTGACTCGGCTCACACTATGGGGCTAAAGCAGCAGTATAGATGTTCCTACTTGGGCTGGAGCCCAAGGTTTGAAACCTGCATAAGTCCCATGAGCCGAGTCTGTTGACTCAGGCTCATACTCGCTGCCAGGTTGTGTTTTTGTTTTTTGTTTATTTTTGTTTGTTTTTTTGCAGTGTAGCTGTAACCTTAGATTGTCAGGTAATCATTCACCCGCCCCTTCACGCTGTATAGGCCAGCCCTAGGCATCAATATATTACTATCTAGGAAGAGGGAAAATTCATTTAAAAAGGAACAATTTGTTGAAGTTGATATGGTATCCCAGTGGAAAGAGGAAATAAGTGGGATACATTGTCAAAAACATTTATTTAAATCGCATTGAAACAAAATGTTGGTTAATATATTTTATGCTATATTTTACTAATGCAGAAAAAATCCTCTCTGATTTATTGTGAATGCTCTTTATTCTGCATGATATTAATATGGATCAAATGGTGGAAACTTGCAAAAATACAAGAGAGATATTATAGGCCAGAGCTGGTGTAAGTCAGCACAGCTCCACTGACTGAACTGTAGCTATGCAGGTTTACACCAGTTGAGGATTTGGCCCCAGATCTAAAATTATAGTCTTTTATAATAGCTCCGAAAATTCCCAAATTAAATCCTTCAAAGTACGTAAAGTAGCTGGTCACCAGAGACTTTCATTCCAAATGATTGCGTGTATTATTTTTAGGATTAATTAAGTGTTTTTGATACAGTGTTCTAAATTCCACCTCCTCTTAGGATTGTACCTTTCTTGTTGGGCCCTGATTGGTTAGTCTATATTGCCCACCAAGGCTGGTTGACCATGGTCATGCAATGTACTGGGTCTAATTATATAAAGTCATTTCCATGGACCACTATAATATCTGACACCCCCCGCCCCCCCCACACACACACACTATTAATTAATTTAGCAACATCTCTGTGAGATGGAGTTATCCCCATTCAGAAATAGGTAATTGAGGGAGAGAGTGATAAGTGATTTGCTCAAGATAATACATGCAGAGCAAGGAACAGAACCCAAACTCTTGTGTCCCTAAAGGTATGTCTGCACCACAGCTGGAAGGTGTAAATTCCAGCTTGAGGAGACATACCCGCATTAGCTTTGATCAAGCTAGTGTGGTAAACTAGAGTGTAGTCACAGTAGGGCAAGTGGGGAACAGGGTGATGGGGTATGGGGGGGAGCCGCCCTACGTATGACCTTGTTGGAGACCATAGATTTGTACTAGCCCTTCCCAGAGCTCACGCTGTGGCGACTACACTGCTATTTGTAGCACACTAGTGCAATTGGAGCTAATGCAGGCATGTCGCCTCAAGTTGGAATTTACACCTTCCAGCTCTGGCATAGACATACCTATAGTGATTTAAGATCATTCTTCCTTTCCTTTTAACAGGTCACAGGTAGATTTAGGTTCCGTTTCATTTTACGGCTCACTCTAAGTCCTCCTGCATTTCTGGCATTCCCCCTCATCACTATGCCACATGGCTTCAGATGTCAGGGCAGCAGTAGCAGCTGCCCAAACAGTGCTTTTAAGAAGACAGACTTACCACTGGGTGTTTAAAAAACTCATATTTGGCATAGTTTTTTCTAAAATACAGTCTATTTTCTTCTTCAATTCCCCAGTTTGACTGAACTTCAATTACCAACTCGTGGTCTTCTATAATTCTTTCTGTAAAACAAAGAAAAATACATAGCCTTGCACACAAGCCCACCATCATAGTAAACCCATGAGAACTTAGGCTCAGACACAAATGAAGAGTTATGTTCAACCCAACATGAACAAAGTAATATGAACACCTTCAATTCATCAAGTCTGTTTTACATTTTGTCACCAAAGTCAGTATTCTATACAGTGCTCTTTTATAAGCCAACTCTGCTCATGAAGCATGAATGTCTGCAGTAGGTGAGCAAGCTAATTTTCTCCTCCTCTTCCTCAAACACCAATAAGGTTTTAAAATCTCTCACAAATGCAAAATGAGGTATTGCCTCTTCCAAAGCCAACTTATTACATACTGTAACGTTTTTACACAGCTTGGAATAGAGAGATGGTGATTTTGGCAGCTAGACTTCTTAGTTGTATAACTTCCTTCTTTGAGAAATTAGAGACTTGGAGCCAAAATTAATTAAGGGGAATGGTTAATTACAAAAATACCCAACATTCATTCATAAAGCGTTTTTTCACATTGGAAGAGTTCATCCTGAATTACTCAAGAGCTGGCAAAGCTATTAGAAGTGATCCCATTTGTATAGAGGTGAGCTCATTAGCTAGGTTGGATGCCAGACATTTAGATCTGCAAAGCCATGTGGGGAATTTGAACCTTTTGAAAACCAATTCTGATTGCTAATTAACTTTACAGTAATTGGGGATTTAGAAAAATCTAAACAAATGGCAAACAAAGGACTTATGTAAATAGATAATAAATAACCAATCAATTCGCCTATGTCTGCTCCAGAGTTCTTTCTAAAGATTTCAGAATACTGTTGCATCTCCTCTGCAAGCTGTTTTTAATCTCATTTTTGACAGTTTCCTGCAATGTAAAAAAATACTAAACTACATTTGTACAAAAGGAAATATGGTTTAGAATTTAAGGCCCCAATCCTTTAAAGAGTTATGTATGTGCTTAACTACAAACTCTAGGAGCACTATCATTGAAATCAATGAGACTACTTAGAGTGTGTAAAGGTAAGCCCATGCATAACCTTTTGCAGGATTGTGACTAAATTTATTTCTGTACATTGGATATCACTTATTTAAAAAAACCAAACAACTCATGTATCATTCGTGCTACAAAGAAAAAGAATACATTTCAGTGCACAGGAAAAAATTTGGTGGGCAATTTTCATTTTGCTGACAGCATGAACCAATGAGGAAACAAGTTATTTTAAATGTAAGCGGGGAATATTTTTTCTGGAACTTTATTGAATTGTACTTAAAGGGTCACTGTCAATTTCAAATCTAATTAGTTCCAACAAATCAACAATTTAAAATAGTTTCAACTACTGTTCCTGGGTCCCCCTGCCAATTATACAATTTTACACAACAACCTTATTTTATTTCTCTCTCCCCGCCACCCCAGTATTGCCAAAATGCAAGAGCACAATATATTTTAAATAAAAGAGAGAGAGAGAGAGAGAGAGAGAGGGTTCTATGTATTTTCCCTCTCGTTTTTCAGCCTTTAAAAGGTACAGCCAGTTCATATTCTCAAGCTTTATTCCATAAGGGCTTTAAGCTTAATTTACAAAAAATTACTGAAACTCTTACATAGTCACTTTAGTCCAGGAGCTGGGGCTTTAAGAAACACCACATATCTCAAGACGTGAGATAAAATTGTGAGCTGGCAACACTGCTTTCCAGGACTGTGTGAACAGAATGATTGTAATGCAGCAAAACACAAAATGTCCATTAAATTCTTGAAATACATTGGGGACAAATGTTTGTTTCAGAAGGTGGAGGAAGTAACTGGGGAAAACTGCCATTTTAGACATTATTCTGACTAACAGCATTGTGAATCTGAAGTTGAAGGCAATCTGGGTGAAAGTGATCAAGCAATGATGATTACATGACTCTAAGGAAAAGGAGCAAGAGCAGCAAAATAAGTACAATGGCCTTCAAAAAAAGCAGACTTTACCAAACTCAAAGAAGTGGTTGGTAATGGCCCATGGGAATAAAATCTAAAGGAAAAAGGAGTTCAGGAGACTTCTCAGTTTCTCAAAGAGTCAATGTTAAAGGTACAACAGCAAACCGTTGTTAGGACGAATACTAAAAGTAGAGCACTGCACAGATACAAAATTTGTACCTGCGGCTGTGAATATCCATGGATATAAAGCGGATACCCATGAAGCTTCAGGGCTCTACCAGGAACCACAGCGGCCTGTCAGGCCACCACTCACAGGAGCAAGAGCCCAGCCCAGGCAGCTCCTCCAATGCAGCTGTACTGCCCCCAGCCCTGCCCACCGGGGTGGGCACCAAGCTTAGCGGCAGCTGTCCCTCATCATGCTAGTGTATGCAGGCAGCTCGCATGCTCCTGGAAAAGAAGTAGCGATCTTGAAGAGGAAAAACAGTACACTTCTATCCCTTAAAAAAAAAAAAAAAAAAAAATGCTGTATTAAGGTAACACAAAGGCCAAGATTTTCAAAAAGGTTAAGTGATTTTGAAGGCCCAAATAGAAAAGCGTGGAGCACCTGTCCTCTGCAAATCAGACCCTATTTAAGGTATTTCAAGTTGGGCACACAAAATCTTTTAAAAATTACTTTGAAATATCTTGGCCCAGAAAGAATTAAAAGGGTAGGATTACAATTGCAGCCTCTTTCCATCAATGGTCTTCACTTCTTGTGGCAACATCCACCTTCACAAAACAAGAAATACTATCCACAGCCCAAATACAGTCAAGTCTGCAGACCTAGATTAATTACTGTGCCAAGTCGTCTCCAAATCTCCACTGAGTAAGTAATTACATTCACACAGCTAAATTCTACAAGTAGGAAAAAAAGTGGGCTCATTGTAGGCCACATATACAGATAGTGCTCATGCAATGATCAGATCAATTGTTCATCTTAAACGGTTATCTTTTTAGTTAATAATACAAATTAGAATTGGTTAACTCCTTGATTTGACTAATTTTATTTATATTATAATCCCAATGTATTTTTTATATTCTTTAGCACTTGAAGGAAGTATGAGAAATTAGTTAACCATATAGTTGTTTATGATCTTAAATAAATGTTATTAAAAAAATCCACCAAATCGGCTTCCTCTGATGAAATGGTGACAAGGTAAAAAGCCACCTTAATTAAAGGGACTTTAATTAAACATTTGACATTAGTCCTGAAAACCCGCTATTATTATTACGTCATGCCTAATCCAAAGGAAAAATGCAGCAGCCCACCATAATCTACTAAATACCATAGGATTTGGGAAATAAATGACCTTCACTCCCACTGAATGACTTATTTTTTTAAAACAACAACTCAGTTGGGACACTAACACCACATATCTATTCAAGGGACACCATCCTAGGACCTAACCACATCAGCCACACCATCAGGGGCTTGTTCACCTGCACATCTACCAATGTGATATATGCCGTCATGTACCAGCAATGCCTCTCTGCCATGTACATTGGCCAAACTGGACAGTCTCTACGCAAAAGAATAAACGGACACAAATCTGACATCAGGAACTATAACATTCAAAAACCAGTAGGAGAACACTTCAGTCTCCCTGGTCACTCAATAACAGACCTCAAAGTGGCAATTCTTCAAGAAAAAAAATTCAAAAAACAGACTAACGTGAAACTGCAGAACTTGAATTACTTTGCAAACTGGACACCATCACATTAGGCCTGAATAAAGACTGGGAGTGGTTGGGTCATTACAAAACCTAAACCTAATTTCCCCCTACTGTTACTCACATCTTCTTGTCAACTCTTTGAAATGGGTCACTCTCATTACCACTACAAAAGTTATTTTTCCTCCCTTGGTATCCTACTGTTAACTGAATTGTCTCGTTAGACTGACCTCACACTTGGTAAGACAACTCCCATCTTTTCACGTGTTTATACCTGCTCCTGTATTTTCTACTCCATGCATCTGATGAAGTGGGTTCTAGCCCACAAAAGCTTATGCCCAAATAAATTTGTTAATCTCTAAGGTACCACAAGGACTCCTCGTTGTTTCAACCGATATAGTTTCTCAAAAATTCTCTGTGAAAACCAAACTGAACCAGGCACACAGCTTTTCTCCAAAATGCATCTTTAATATTTATGGAAAAAAAACATCAAGAACTGAGGTGCTGTCTTAAAACAATTTTTTGTTGTTGTTCTGCACCAGTTTTTACAGAAAGCCAGTGCTGTTCTGGTATGCTATTTGAACTGTTAAATTGCTGGCACTGTGACATTTAAATAAATACCATCTCCTGGAGTCTTGCTTCTTGGAACAAAAACAAGACATACTGCATCACCTCATAGATAGGTAAAGATCTTGGTATAGCATATGAACTCCACCCAATGGATTTTTAAGGTAGCAGATTATAAAACTTCTAATGTAGATTCAGATTACTTTTTAAAGGAATTGAACTATTAACAGAGTACTATACTTTAAAACAATCCTGTGATTGGATTACTTTTCTTAACAATGCCGTCTATCCAGTCTTGAATATGAATAAGGACTCCCTAAGACTACAGTACAATCTCTGGGCAGCTCACATAAACAATACAAAGGAACTTCCAGGAAAGTAATCAGTAGAAATCATTGCACTCTCAAAATGCTGTTAAAGACATTAAGTCTCAACACCACAGTAAGGAATTCTTAGACATTTTCCAGATTGGTGAACTGAAGCAACAGAACTCATATGAGTCCAAAACTCCCCATCCCCTGCTCTAACCAGTAGAGCAGCTTGCCCAGCTCTTCCCCCTGAAGGCCTGCCTGATAAATGCTGAGATCATCTTCAGGCAGAAAGGTGACAAGGCTATTTATTGGGACCTATGTAAAAAGGCTTCTTTTGGCTGTGGACATTTTTCAGCATCCTCAGAACCACTTCATCTTATGAAAACATACAATTACTGATTCTCAGCAGACTAGGTTCCTAACTGAAACCTGTCACAGAATGAAGGGAATTGGCAAAATTCTATCTTGGTTTTGGATGGAAGAGTTTTACCCCGGGACTTGGTT